CTTCCTTCCTTCCTTCCTTCCTTCCTTTGCATACAGACACAATGAGATGGAACCAGATAAAGAAACACAGCTTGCATTCTGGGAGCATTGACACGTTGTTGGTGGCCACTAGAAATTCAGTCGCTATTCAAATGGGAAGACTGCCATTGTGTGAAGAGACATTCACACATGCATCAGTTCTAGTGCATGCGTTTTGTTCTGTTCTCATATTTTGGTCAGGGTCTGCTCCTGCAACTGCCCTGGTTCACTGAGTGCCAATCCTTGTGAAGCAAAAGGCAAAAGAAAGAGGTCCCAGAAGATGTGAGTGAAGCCTGAAGTCTGCTGGAAAATGTACTTGGGCTAAAAGAATCTTAAAAAGTGAAAAAAGGTTTGCGTGTGGATGGAAACACCTGAATGAGATGTGTGTATCTCCAGTAGACACAGAATGGTGACTGATACAGTGTCTACAGTGGTAGACATACAATATAAGAAAGTGCATAAAATAATCAGCATTTACACTATCCATAAAATGGTGGTGCTAAACTGAACAAAATAGTTTGCAGGAACTGAGCAAATGTTATGATAGGCACAAAATTCATCATTCTCCCCACCATGTGCAAGATGGGGATAATATTACCCTACTCTACAGGTAAGGATTGTAGAGACAGTACCCCAAATCCACTTGTTTAACTATGTAAATAGCACAACTTTGGGGGGCATTTGCTCCAAGTCAAGAAATCACTGCAGACACTGTCAGCTGCACAATGAATCATACAACTTAGTATGCAAATGATAGTATCAGCACTGATTTCTTAATCTAGAGGAATTCACTTCCAAATGTTATACCAGTTGCGCTACACGAGCATAACCAGATAAGAGGATTTGGGCCAATGTATCTGAGGTGCCCTGTATACTTTAAAGCAGGTATGAAGAACCTTATGCCTTAAGGGATAGAGCTGAATTCAGCACCTCCAAGTCCCTCAGATGGTTATGCCACTTTCCTTATGACACCCTGAGCCTTTTTCAGCTTTTGTACAATTTTTTTCATTCTAAAAGGTTCATGGGACTCTCCTAATAGGTATCAGCAGCTTGAATTTTAAGGTGAAATATGCAGATATTTTGGGT